GAATAAAACAAAGGCCACTTCTTCCAACAAAAATGGATAATAATCAAGAGTTCGAGGTTGAAGGAGTCTTGAATTTAAAACGATATTGAAATAGGTTGGAATATCTTATTCATTAGTATAGATATGATATTAATGAATACACATGGAAGCCAGCTAAAAATCTTATAAATACAACAAAAAAAATGGATGTTTTTTATTAATAACATCCATCAAAGTTAAAATTAAAATAATAATAAATTTTTACTATAAAAGAAGTAAAATTTGAAATATATATATATATATATATATATATATTATCTTCTATCTTTGTTTGTAGTTTATGTGTATTTATACCATTTAATAGATAAAAAATCAATAACTAGCAAATTCAAGTCAAGAATTACTATTTGCTAACTTACTAGTCAAGACATTATAATTATCATAGCCTTCAAGATGACATGATCAAGATGGAGATCCTCAAGAATAAGAAGTTCTTCTTTGAATAGATGGCAAGATATAATGCATTTGGTATTATGATCTTAGAAGAGATTTTTGATATTTGGTGATTTTATTGGAAATAAAAATAATTCTTTATGGTCTCACAAATTTTTTGTTTGAAAAAAGTTACAAAAGCCTCAACAATAACCAAATAATAAAGTAGTCTTCTTGCCTTAGAATAAAAAATTATCGATAATTGAGACGACCTATCAACCACCTTTGAAGGAAATATTGATGAGAGTATGTGGCAAACATAAATTGCCGCATCTTTGACTTCCTCAATATATAATGACCGCTTCTTATGGAACTTATCTCTAGAAGGGAAAGGAAGTAGGAAGTAATATCAAAGACATACATATTTACCTAAATAAAAAATACTAGATATAAGATAAATATATATAGATTTGATATTATCTTGTGGTAAAGCTTCTTTAAAGCTCCATAGGTGTGTATTTGACTTTATAAATGTTTATAATTGATTGGAAGGTTAGAAATTTGGCCAACAAGTTAGTCATATATTGCATGTGTGGATAGCTTGTGGTATAAGCTAATGATATGGCATGTATATAAGAAACTTGTCTTATAGGTTAAGATACATATTTCACAAATTGGATATGTGTTGGATGTCTTATATGACATTGTTATGTAGCTATTAGTTGGATAGTATGTATAGGGGCGAGAATAAAGCCTTCTTCACTCTTATCAATGCCTTTCTAGTCCTTAGTCTTATTTCAAGGCTTTTTAGTCTTTTTGTTTTTGGTAATAGTTATTCTAATTCAATATATTACTATCTTTGAGTGATTTTTTAATCTTTTCAAATGATAAAGAATGTATTGAGATTTTTTTTCTTTGAGATTCATGTCCTTGATATTAGTTGGATTAATGCCTAACAAAAGAATGACTCTATTTCTTCTCAAAAAAAAAAAAAAAAAAAAAAAAAAAAACTACAACAATATTAAAATTGGTATTTCCTATAATATATAATATGGATATTTTAAATTAATTTGTTTTATATATACAATCAGTAATAATTAAAGATGAATATCTCTTTGCAAGTTGATCATATCCAAATTATACAAAAACAAAGGAATTCACCTTGCTTTCATTGCATTGATAAGTAAATTTATAATTAGCTATTACATAAGGTTTTATTTAAGGCAAACAATGGGCAAACAACCATCAAGGGCTATTTGAAGCAGAAGATGTGGGTTAGAAGTGCACTATGGTCTACATTATGTTGTCATTTGCTTTTGTAGTGTTCAAGACTACGGCTTTACTTCAATCTCGCCTTGATGGTTTCAGTTAACGTTGCTTTGCTGAATTGCTGATGCAGCACAGAATAATGGAAGTTGGAAACGGTTGTAGTGCTTCAGAGAGCGATACAAGCCCTATTCTGCAGCTCTTTTGCTTTTGTTGGGTGCCTGAGCTACTTTGTGAACATATTTTTTCAGAAGTCATTTCCAAATATTTAATTCGGACCCCGAAGTTGTAGGAAGCAGGAAAGAAAGTTGAACTCAACCACTTACTCTGATGGAGAAGCGGAACAGTGCTGGTGGACGTGGGATTAACTGCAACAATATTTGATCTAAGAGGAGTTCCTCTCATGCATGTGAAGACTGGCGAGGCTGTCGTCAGCACTGTTAAAGTTGACATTCCCATCTTCAACATCTACCATGATCTCAGAGGGACTAATAAAATCTGGTGAATCTAATTGTGTTAAATGTTGGGGGTGTGGGAGCTAAAACATGTCACCACTAGCAAGAAAGACTTTGAATTCTAGATCTCGGTTGTTGGGAGCCTGCAGCACAAGAGCCCAGTGCCGCTCCCAGCTTATTACCTCTCAAGGACGAGAACCTCCTAGTTTACAACTGAAAATCAATGGGCAGCCACTCCGGCCTTTTCCACGGAGAGTTCTCAACACACCGATTTCCCACTTCCTTAGTAGTTCAACTCCCTTTTAAGTGCTTCGACACATTTTTGTCGATTCTTGTAATTGATCACCCAATGTAACATGTTGGGTGTTGTTCAGAAAACGAATGAAGCAATCAAGAGCAATCACCTCTGGGTAAGGTCAGCAGGATGAAGATTGCACTTGGAGCTGCGAGGCGACCTGCGTACATGAACGCTCAAGGATGTCCCAAATTTGTAAAGGCAAACATCCAACCATGCAGAAATCTGTCAGCAAAGGCCTTGAAGCGTACGTCTCTAATTACGGCTCGCTAAGCTATTGACTTCATCCTCAGTAGCTTCAGGGGTCATTGGCGACGGAGCTCTTGAAGCCACAAGAGGCAAAGGACGCGACCCACAAGACAAGTGGTTAGAGCCCATGAACTCTATAAGACACGTGTAACCCAGCAAAGCGCTCGATCATTCCACCGTGGCAGCTTAGTTCGGGATCTACTTCGCCTCGCACTGTTTTGGATGCTTTGCATTCGTTCATTTCTCTCTCGGAGTATGAAGTTTTCGTCGGAATTTCATCCCATCAATTACACTATTTAACGGAATGTAGAAACAAAACTACTGTGGTTGTTTCAGGTCTCATGAAAACTTTAGCGCTCGTGAAACTAAACGTTTGAAATCTTTCGTCTTGGTTGGTTAAAAATACTCTTCGCTTTCTGTAGCATGAATAACTGCATTGAAATTGTTGCATACATTACTTTCATTAGTATGGAGATGAATAAGTTAAAAAACTGATTATTTTAAAAATGTTTTTCTATCATTATTTTAGAAGTCTATGACTGAAGTCGTTAATTTGGCAAACATAGACTAGTCGTAAATAATTCGATAACTTAATTCTAATATACTTCAATTTAGTTACGATGTGCACAAGTTTCAAAAACAAAGTTTTAAAATACATTATTAAATTTGAATTTCAAATTTCTATAAAAATTGTTTGTTGGAAGTTGATTAGTTATGTTTGCCACTAGTTTGATCGAGTTTTCTCACTTCCATCAAGTATGGTTGACTTTTCACTTGTGTAATATTTTGATTGTACTGATTATACTTCGTTGTTGATTGCATAATTCATAATACAGGAGAAGCCAAAATTAAATACAAACTAATAACTCATTCTTCATACAACTACAAAAATAAACCTAAAATGGGTATTATAGTGCACAATCTATCCATATCATGAGAATACTTTCTTGATTATGCTAGCAAAACAAATCCCATATTAATGGATTCTATCAAATTGGTTGTAAAATAAGGGAGTAAGTTTGGAACTTACTTAATTAAACAAATAATATTGATTTAATAACTTGTTTCTAATGTACTATATTTATTAATATCACAAATATGAAGTTCAACCAAAAAAAACCTTCAAAATTTTCACATGACAGTTTCTATTGTGTATTTGTATTTTACGTTCATGTTTTTTTTTTTGTTAATCTCTATTTAAAGTTCATGTTTTATTTTAGTTTAGTCCGAAAGTTCTACATAATAGGTAAATATTGGTAGAATTGATTTCATCAATTTTTAAAAATGATTGTACAAGAACATTGATGTCTATGCAAAATTTTAAAGCACTTCGTTTCTTTTCTCAATTGATTTGAGGTCTACTTTTAGGGGTGTTATTGTGGTCTGTAGAATCCAAGTGTTATAATGAACCAATCAAATTCAATTAATTTCAACACCACTTACAACACATAAGTCATTTTAATTCAATGTAACAGGTTCCATGAATTTTGTTTTTAAAATCTCATAAATTTTTCAAGGAATTTGTTCAACATTCTTAAAAAAAATTCTTGCACTTTAAACATTTTATAGTGCTCACATCTGCATCTCAATTTAAGATATGTCAAGTCGCAAACCATCAACATGCATTTACTAATACCCCAAAAAACATAAAATAATCATGCTAATGCAATGTCATGTATGTTTGTATGTATGTATATATTGAAACCAGCAATGTATGAACATACATAGCATTCAAAGACAATATACTGCACAAAACAAAGTAACTTACCAAAAAAATTTACAATTTGTTTCATCATTATGTGTCACCAGTCAAACTTGTGAAAATAGTATTTGTTCACATTTTACAATCGTAATTAATTCATGTACAGTGCAACATCTAAACACATTGCAAAATGCAACAATCATATCACAATTCCATTGCTTCAAATTTACACTTTACAAAGAAAAAGTATTAATCTATCCTGATAAATTTAAGCAACTAATATGCTTATTTTCCTCAATGTGATACTTACAAGTACAAGTCATTAAAAACTCCGTGTTCAATAATTGTAATCAGTATATTCACATTTTACTTTCTAAAGTGAAATTTTCGTGGACAACTTTTCTAGTGCATTATTTAAAAAGCGATGGGACTTCGGATATGGAAAAGGCGGCCAAGTTTGGAGGCAAGAGGGCAAATACGGAGGTAAAGATAATATGGTTGGAGGAAGTGTAGATAAAATTAAACGTATAAATTGAACTAACTTCCCCTCTAAAGTTGGCCATCACCTGGTCAACCCAGGCGTTCCCCTCCGTGGAAGGGTTCCTCGAGTTCCAACAGATGCATGGGAACGGCTCTAAACAATCAGCAGCCGAGATATTTGGCACCTGATTTCCGACGCGGCGGCTTCGGCGGAGGCGAGACAGACCTGGCTCCGCATTGCGACCCCGCCGCAGGACTAGCGTTCCAGTGGACGACGCAGTTGCAACGCAATGGATCTTCCACAGCCATGTAGACCTGCAACAATCGCACAGACTCGCGAATCATGCACTTCAGGAATAGCGCGACTCTTTCAACGCTCAGAGACGGGAAATAACCTCCTCGCAACAGATGAGGGGAAGCTGGTACTTCGCAGACGTTGAGGTACTAGCATCCGACGTCGTGGACGTGATCCGACTTGCTGCTGGCGAAAGCGATCCGTGCTAGAGATCTGAAAGTTCCTCAGCGTCGAATGATCTCGTTCAAAATCTTCACCTGGAAGGATATTGACGTGAGTTTGTGTTCACCTGGGAACGGTGTTTCTCGAGACTGGTGCAACTTGGCTCTGCGCGCCAAGTGTTTGTTTTTTTCCAGGCAAAAGAATGCTGTATTTAGAAACTACTCTGGATCCACAAATTGCTGATGAGTCGTGAGCAGTGCTTTGGATTCTGCGGAAGTCGCCGCTCTTGGGTGGTGCTGAGGGCAGGGAGCGGCCACGGCTAGGAGATGTAAAAAATTGAGTTCTGTGTTTTGTTGTGTTGCGTTTTTTGAACGCCGCAGCTGCAATTTCCCGCGCGTGCATGCAGACGGGTGGCGAGATCCACTCCAGCAGCGTAATGTAGCAAGTCGAGCAGGGAGCAGAGTCAGGGCCGTCCTGGACAAACCAGCGAAATCTTCCGTCATGCCACAGAAGGCAACAGAAATAGGGCTAGCTTTTCGAAGAGTCTGAAGTGCGTCCCGTGTGTGCACTATAACATGCTATAGTTGCTTTCTCGCATGCCATGCAATATTTCGGAGACTTTCCCTTCAAATCTAGTAGTTAATGGGGGAGGTGCAGTTGATTATCCAGCGAAGTGGAAGCCGTGAGGAGTAGAGAACTGGGAAGGACTGAGAATGAGGGTGTAGAATTAAACGGAGAGGATCATTGTCTACTTGCATGCTGTAGCTAGTCCGCTAAAAATGTAGGGTTTCAGGATGATTTTCAAGTTCTGCGCATATTTGTGAGTGTGTTGCGCAGGCCAATAGATATGACTAAAAGAAAGCGTGAGCCGGAGTCAATATTTGCGAAGGTGGTTATCTTCCTTTTAGCGATTCTTGGTGCAGTTTCGGTGGCAGCGCAAGACTTAGCTGCTGATACCAGGGCCCTTCTTGTTTTCAGTGCTTACCATGATCCTAGGGGGACGAAGCTAGTCTGGACCAATGCTACATCTACGTGCACCTGGAGAGGCATAACCTGCTTTCAGAATCGAGTCGCAGAGATTCGACTGCCGGGCGCAGGGCTCCGGGGAATAATTCCACCCGGAAGCTTGAGCTTGATCTCGGAACTTCGGGTAGTAAGCCTGCGGAACAACCAGTTAACAGGGCCGTTTCCTGACGAGCTTGGAAAATGCAGCAATGTGGAGTCATTGTATTTGGCAGGCAACGCTTTCTCCGGTCCAGTGCAAAATCTCACTGGACTCATGCCGCGGCTCACCCAGTTGAGCTTGGAGTATAATAGGTGAGCATTCACCATTCGTGCTTGAGCTATGCTTAAGGAGGTCGATCTTAAATTGTGTATGTTGTTCACGTTTCCATCAATTCGAGGTGAAGCTCATGAGTGCGTACATGGGCTCATTCTGTGCGAACAGGTTGAATGGCACCATTCCCGAGGAGTTAGGGTTATTATCCCGACTGAACTTGCTGAATCTCCGCAACAACTCTTTCTCTGGGAGCATTCCGTCCTTCAATTCTGCAAACCTGATCATATTTGATGTAGCCAACAATAATTTGTCCGGTCAAATTCCTGCATCACTGTCGAAATTTCCGGCTTCGTCTTACCACGGCAATCCTGGTTTGTCCGGTTGCCCTCTCGAATCTGCATGTCCGTCATCAGTAGCACCTATCACAGCCCCCAGTCCCCTTGTATCATCTCCACAGGCGCCGAGAGGCAAACTCTTGTCAGTGGGCGCGATCGCGGGAATAGTCGTCGGCGGAGTGTTGTTTCTGGTTCTCGTTGCAAGTTTTCTGCTCTTTCTATGCAGACGAAAGAAAGGATGGCACGATGCTGCACCAGTCGGAACACGTGAGGTTCCTCGTGACCATTCTCGTCAGAAGACTCTTGAGAAAGGGGATGAAGTGCAAGCAGAAGAGTACTCGAGCGTTGTTGTTGAGAAGCAGGCGATCAACGGACTGGTTCCTTTATGCCCGGTATCATTCGATCTCGACGATTTGTTACGGGCTTCCGCGGAGGTACTGGGCAAGGGTACTGTGGGAACAGCTTACAAGGCGATCTTGGAGGACGGGTCGGTCGTGGTGGTGAAGAGGCTAAAAGATGTGCCAGCCGGTAGAAAAGAATTTGAGGCTCAGATTCAGGTCTTAGGAAAATTGCAGCATCGTAATCTAGTGCCGCTCCGGGCTTACTACTTCTCCAGGGATGAAAAGCTCCTGGTTTCTGACTTCATGTCAACGGGGAACCTTTTTTGTCTTCTGCACGGTGAGCATCATTTACATTGATTTTCTGTAGTGTTCATATCCTTGCTGTATTTGAACCACGATCTGTTATGCTGTCATGCTAATTGGTAGTTCGTTCCGTTCGTTTCGTTTTGCAGGTAATCGAAGCGGGAACAACCGTACACCTGTGGATTGGTTGACTCGAGTAAAGATTGCAATTGGAGCTGCGACGGGGCTTGCTTATTTACACGCACAAGGAGGTCCCAATTTCGTTCACGGGAACATCAAGTCATCCAACGTTCTGATAAACAGAGACCTAGAAGCTTGTTTATCTGACTATGGACTAGCATACCTGTTTGGCTCTTCAAGTAGTTCATCGAAAATGGTCGGCTACCGAGCACCTGAGGTTGCCACAACCCGGAGGCTCACACACAATTCGGATGTCTTCAGCTTTGGAGTGGTAAATTTCATACTTCTAGGGGAACCTAGAAATCCTTATCTACTGTGTCTCAGATGAATGCGAAATGGTGCATCTTGTTTCTTGAGTGCCTGTTTTAATTGTTGCACTGCCGTTGGTTTGCAGCTACTTCTCGAGCTTCTTACAGGGAAATCACCCACCCAAGCGTCTGCCAACAATGAGATCATTGACTTGCCACGCTGGGTGCAAGGTGTCGTTCGGGAGGAATGGACAGCCGAAGTGTTTGATTTATCGCTGATGCGCTACCAAAACATCGAAGGAGAGTTGGTCGCAATGCTGCGGATCGCAGTGCAATGCGTTGATCGTGTACCTGAGCGGCGCCCAAAGATGACCCAGGTCGTTGCCTTGCTTGAGAATGTGCACCCTTTAATCGGAGACAGCAGAGACGAGACCTCGCGACATTACGAGAGTGCTTCGGAGCATTTCAGAAGTAGTGACAGAGACACCTCACACAGGAGCTCTCCTTACTTCCGCGCCCCTTGACCTCCTTCGACTCAATTCGAGCGTGGCCGCGCATGGTGCTTGTGGAATATTATTCGTGGGGGTCCTCGTCTCCACGATTTGTAGTGTAATACCATTTGCTTATCGCCCTCACTTGTTAAAAAGACCACTATCACGAGTGTTTCTAGCTTCCATTCACTCGACGATTAGAGTGAAGCAATGTAAAATGTCTTAGCATTCATGTCAATTAATGAACAAGTTTCGACCCATTCTTTTCTAAAAAGTAGTGCTTACTGGTGTTGTCTAGCTTCTATGACTGAAAGCTAAATCACCCTTCGTTTGAATTGAAATCTTTTCCTGAAATTTCTAAATTAAGGGAACACAAAATTCCACTTAAATCTCGATCTACAGGCATTTGGGGATTCCCCAGGATCAAGCTTTGCGGACCACGAAATCCACTCACAGAGGGAAACTTGGACATCTTTGCAAGATAGTCAGGAGGCCGGGAGCGTGGTGTGGATTCGACAGCTTAGGCTCGAGTAAAAATGCAAAGACATTCCTCAACGTCCTTCCAACTTCGAGTAACGTCTTTGGCCTCCTGTTCCAGAAGTAGAAACACCAAAAGAACGATCTATTTACTGTGGTCTTGCACCATCTACAACAATGCTGGCTTCCAACATGCGTTCTGCAGCTGGAACTGCGCGTCCTCCAGAGAGAGAGAGAGAGACCGATTTCGCAGAAAAGTTACCCAGCTCTCACTCTGACCTTTTAACTTCATCCGCCCGTCATACATGCGTGATGACAGAGATGGATGCCGGGTAGCTGCGTCAGATTTTGTGTGCAACTCAGCGATGGGTAACCAATTGCTGAGCTGCCCTTAAATCTTCGCAGCAGGGGTTAAATGTTTAGGATTTTGAAAAAAAAAAAAAAAAAAAAAAAAAACACATACACATACACACATACAAAATCATTTTTGGGCAATTAGTTGTGGTTTAAGACATAAGAGTTATTAAAATGTTTTGGTGCATTTTAACTCCGTCTTCAACGCAGATTCGCATGACCTGAGTATTCGCCACTACCGTCTGTCAACCCCCCCCCCCCCCTTTTGCCCGCGCTTGGCTGTCAGAGTGGGAAATTATTCTCCAAACTCATCGCTGTTAAGTTTGCAAGCTGCGGTTCAACAGATAATGGAGTCTATTGGACCTTGAGAAGATTGTCTCTTTTGTGAGCGGTGGCGATCTCACAATTTTGGGCATAAACGCCTGCGCCTGTTCATGAGGCTCTTTGTATCAGCTTCGTGTGTGCAGATGAATGTTGTTAACGTCGTCAAAGTTGGGAATCATTCACCAAACCAGGCACCGTTTCTGAAAACTGAAGATCCTCAAGTAACAATTAACTAGCCCATGCTACATTTTACAAAAGTTTGCAACAGTCTTGTAAGATACATTTATAATGATCTAGAACATAATAGTTTTTTATATATATACCTACCTACTTGTTTGTTGATACCTTGAACAAAGAGAATTGACAGTGCTACATCTTTAATTGGTATTGCTATACTCAACATGATTTTCACACAACTTATATTGACTAAAAAGCACATTTCTATATTTAAGGCAAGTTTGGCACTACATCTTCAATTGGTATTACTATAGCTTATGTGATTTCTATACAACTTATATTAATAAAAAAACACACTTATATGTTAAAGACATGTTTGGCAAACTAATATTGATTCAAAAATAGAATAAATTGAAAAATGATATTTTTGTAACCAAATTATTACGAAAAAAAAAAAAAAAAAACTTAATGGATGTTATACTCAACAAAAGTAAGAATAGATTTGCAACTATTGCAAATCTTCAAGACCTTATGAACATGCTTAAGGCATAATTCTCATGTATTTCTAATATCAATCATTCAAACACTATTCTTATACCTATGTAAATAATCAACAATAAAGTTTAAAGTCTATGCTAAGAAGTTGTAGATTTAATTGTGAAATAAATCTACTTATCTCTTTCAATAAGATAAGTAGATTTATTTCACAATTAAATCTAAGAAGTCTTGCTATTAAGTATGAAGGAAAGAAAGATTAACATGCTAGAGGAGTTTGATGGAACAACATCAAAATTTCAAGGATTTCTAGAACACATTGATGTATGGTGTGATTTTCTATTTGAGAATATACTATGTAACAGGGTATAGATAAGATAATTCTATAGATAATTAGAACCAAAGATTCTAGAATTGAAGTTAGATTAGTAGGTCAGGTAGGACCTATTATGGAACATTCTAGAAAGAATTTAGGATGATTATTTAGGTGGGGCTTATCATAGAATCTTCTAGAAAAGGAATTTAAGGCGGTTACTTAGGTGGAGCCTACTACCTATGAATATTCTAGAAAGGTATAAATAAGACTAGCTAAGGCCTTTTGAGGCATCTGGTCAGATATGGCTTTAAATCCTTCTTCTTAGTAAAATTTGGTTTTACATCATTCTGTTTAATTTTGTTCTGTTCTGTTCTATTTTCATTCACTTAGTTTTATATTTCATATCGTATTCTATTTACTTCCAATTAATTTTGTTTTAGTTTATTCTGTCATATTTTGTGATAAGGCTTTATATTGTTGTGGATTAAAAAGATCTTAGATTTTTGAGATAGTCTGGTCATGTTTCATTGATATCAGAATAAGTGTTAGACTATTTATTTTTGGTAGCATATCAATAGTCATCATCTAGTCCAAGGTCAATTGTTCTAGTCACAATGGATAATGTGTTGAAGCTACCATGAGCTACTCTTAATAAATCATCTAAGAGGTGAAAAGACATTATAATAGTGGAATCCAATAGAGAAATTATAATATGGGAGATATGGCATAGAAATCCTAGATGGACGCTCAAATACAACACCTCTTAGGCCAGATAACTACTTTGCAAGGGCAAATAGAAGCCTTAAAGACAAAAGAGTCGATATCTACTAGATTGAAATTAAGTAAGCATAATACATATTGTAGGACTTCAAGACAAGAAGATGTATGTTAATGGCTCTTCAACATGCGACAATATCTCCAACTATTTGGGACAAATACTACTGAAGGAATTATATATGCAGTCAGCTATTTGAGAGTTGCGGCAGCCATTTGGTGGCGACATTGAATTCAAAGCCATGGAGCTCAAAGTAGATTCTGTGACTGGGACGAATTTGAGACTAAGTTTAGGAGTCAATTTTGGCCCATCAATGCAGAGAAGATAGCATGGGATCAGTTGATAAATCTTACACAATCTAGATTGGTGCAAGTTTATGTCTCCTGATTGAAGTCATATATCTCCAAATTGGTAATGTTTTGGAGGTGGAGATGATGGATTGATTCCTATGAGGTTTGAAACTTGGCATCTAATAAGAAGTAGAGCTAAAGGATCTACAAACATTTGAAGAGGCAATTAAGATTGCAGAGAAGGTCAGTGCTATAGATTTCAAAAAGTGTAGAGTATGACCTATAGTACAAAGTCTTATGCTGCTATTTAATACTATGGCACAATAATCAACATCAATGGAAATTGATGCCGTATAAGGATCATTGACACCGCAAAGATGATAAATATTAATGCAAAAGAGTTTGTATTTGTGTTGTTGAGAGCTAGGCCATCAGATCAATGGTTGTCCAAAATATCAAAATTCAAGCACCAACAAGACAAGGTAGGTTTACAATCTCAAAACTCACCATGTCAATAATAAAATAGAGCAAAAAAATGGTGCTTCCTAATAAAGATGCCAAAGAGCTAATATCAGAAATAACTACTATTTCTTAGATACAAATGGAATGGCCTCGAATAACTATAAAAAGAATCAACTGGTGCATCTAATGAGACTATTAAGAGGACAACTATGTTGAGTGCTTGTAAATTGTGGCTCTATAAAAAATTGCATCTCAATTGAAATTGCTAACTGATTTGGAATTAAAACTAAGGAAATTAAAGGATGAAGTATATACCTTATAGATAACTGAGAGAATGTATTGAATGAAATGTGTGAAGAAGAAATCTTAAAATTGACAAATGTCTATGTCTTAAGAAAGAGATTCAAAGTGACAAAGTTAAGGTATGATATTATCATTGGTATGCCATGGCTAGAGATATACAATATGAGCAACCAATATATATGGTAGTTCCAAATCTTGTGTCAATAGTGGAAAAGACAATCAAAGGGATAGAAGAAGCAGAACAACTCATATTAGAATATCTAGATGTCTTTCAAATCGACCTACCTAGTGGCGTACTTCATGATCGAGGTGCGCCATTTCAAATAAAATTATTGCCTAAAACCAAACTAAGAAGTCGATCAATTTATTACTTAGCACCAAAAAAACTTCAAGAGTTACAAAAGACATTAGACAAACTCTTGGAAAAAAGCCTCATTAGAAAAAGTATATCACCATAGAGAAGACATGTACTCTTTGCATCCAAGAAAGATGGTGGACTTTGTATTTGCATCAACTATTGAGGTCTCAATAAGTAGGCTGTTAAAAATGCATATCTACTTCTATGGATGGATGATCTTCTTGACTAACTTTGAGATACAACCATCTTTAGTAAATTGATTCTTTGCAGTGGTTATTGGTGAACACCTATTGTAAGAAGAGATGTAAAAAAGACATAATTTTGTACATGCTATGGACATTTTGAATGACTAGTTTTATCTTTTGGCCTGACTAATGCTCCAACATCTTTTATAAGATCAAATGAACAGATTTTTTTGAGATCTTTTGGACAAGTATATAGTTGTCTTCATTGATGATATCTTTGTATATAATAAAATCCTTAAAAATCATCAGCAACACTTGTAAGAAGTGTTGCGTCAACTACAAGATAGTCGCTTCTATTACAAGCAATCAAAATGTAACTTTGGAAGTCAAAAGTTACTTTTTTGGGACATGTGGTGTTCTCCAAAGATGTGCGTATGGAGTAAGATAAGATGAAAGCAGTAGAAGATTGGCCAACCTCCAAAGATGCCTTTTAAGCTTGTTCATTTTTAGGCCTTACTAGGTAATATTATATTTTATTCAATGATTTGCTCACATAGCTACCTAATTGACAAACCTATTGGAAAAGGGTGCCTCATTTGAATGAAAACTCAAGTAGAAAAATGCCTTTGATAAGTTAAAGGAGGAACTTATTATTGCTCTAATATTACAACTGTATCTTCCTAATCTTCTTAATCATCTTTGTATGCTTGATATTCTTACTTTCACCTTTGCTGTCAAAGCGATTCTTCAATAAGACT